AAATATTTAACATTTATTAATAAATTCTCAGAAAAAAGGCTCTCAAAATGGAAAAAAATGTTGGTAAAAAATGTCACCTTTAATCCTCCCTTGTTTGCATTGAAGTTGGAAGCCCTGTCAAAAACATGTACATTATGCTGTCTAAGCATTCACTATTTTTGCTTTTTYTTCAGACACCCCAGCCCCACTCCCGCCCCGCAATGGCACTGTGTCCCCTAATTTGAGAGCCTCTGGACTATACCGTTTTTGTTTACAAAGATAAAGCAGATGATTATCAGCAAGTATAAATTATTTTACCTAGTCATTGTAGTTTTGGTAATCAGACAAAAGACGTTACCTTACTGGGTTCAAAACTCATTGGCAACTCAAAATTTCAAGCAAATGCCAACTTTGCACATTTACAGACGCCTTTCCATTCTTCAACTATTTGGCATCAGTTGCAGCCCAGTGAGATGCTGCTTGAACCAAAGTCTAGGCAGATATTGTTTTTTTCTTTAAAGACATGCTAGGAAACTAATTTATCTTTTTCCTARTGTCACAAACATCAGCTTATGCTTTCAGTTTTGTCTTTGGTTTAAAGACTGGACTCGTTTATTCACCAATCACTGTTTTTTGGTACCTCTTTGTTAATGGATTCTTCAAGTTTTTCATAGGAGCTCCTGAAGTGGTGTGTCAAAGAAATTATTCTTGGGTCTGAGATTGTATTAGTGAAATTTAATCAGTAGTTGTTTGCCATTACTCAGAAGAAAAGCAAAAATCAAACAAAAAGATCAAAAAGAAGACAGGGCTAATTGCTGCACTCTGCCCTCCTTTACCCAAATGCATCTCTTGTGTTGAGATCAAGTGTTGCTTTGTTACTCCAATCGCTCTATCTTTCTTTTTCCTCCTTCCAGTACTTCCTCCATCTCTCCCGCTCACCTTTGTATTGATTGCAGTCTGCAAGCTGGCCGTTCTCTTCGCCTTTATGTGTTGTCAATTTATAAAAAAAAAGTGAAATCTCTCTTGAATTTCAATTGAGAGGCTTCAAAGTGCTGCTCGGTGGTTAAGGGCATCATCAAACAAGCCGGGTGCTTCAGTGTTACGGGCCTCGGAGGACTCGTGGTCTGCTGCTAAACAAAGCCGACCGGCTGATTACACCTCGCCAAAATCCCAGCTGCCTCATTGTTCTGCACGTTCTGAAGTAAAAACTTCACAGTGTCTTATTTTCATTGACTTTTCCGCCACTCGTGTAGGTCAAGCTTCAAGTCCACAAAATCCCGATGGCAYATTTTTCTTTTAGCTGTAAAAATCCCAAGTCCATTGTACCTGCTCTGACTCAGAAATGTAATCAACTATTTTTTTAATTCAGTTTGTCTCTGAAATACTCTTTTAGAGGCAGAGATAACTGAGTGGTTGAGAATTATCACTGCTGCTTTGTGTAGCGTCCCTTTCAAAACAACGTGACATTTTCTTTAAAATCACAGAAAGCGTAATGGTTCCACTGCTCAAGCTTTCCAAAAAAAAAAGACTTAATAATTTCAAATCCCTTTTATGTTCTCTCATATTTACTGATCACGTGTGTGTCCTCCACGTGCTGTGAATGAGCTTCCTAAATGTGCTGTTTACTGGGTCAAAAGGTTTTATGATCACGATCCAGGGCACTCCAGATGGATGAATGGATAGCCATTTACATAAATGAATACATACATGCTGTGTGTTTGTGCCTTTGAGAGGCTATAATTGACACAAAGGTTTTGTTAATACAATAAGGAAGATATATTTACTTTCTTGTTTTTAAAAGTCCTCTTTTTCCAGGATCCGTTAAAGTAAATGACAAAACTTTCAATTTTTCAGTTTGTTCTGGTTTTGTTAAGTTTAAGTTGTTGGCTTTTTATTTCTGTCTGATTACAATGTAACTATTAGTTTGTAGACTAATTCTAAGATCGCACCAACCATTGCACTTTGAATCATAATGGGCTCCTCAGAGGAAGACTAGAGGGCTCCACCACTGAAGAACACACACACACCCACTATGCCTCTCCATCCTTGTGGGGACTTTCCATTGACTTCCATTCATTTTTTTTTTGAAAATTTTATAGCCTAACCTTGACTTTTACCCTAAAATTAACCTCACAGGTTAAATTAACCTCACCTGACCCTAAAACTAACCTAAACTCAATTCACACCATGGTCCTAAACCTACCCCCCGTTCCGCACCCCCACCCAACATCAGCTTCTGAAGTTGTGGGGATGGGCTTTGGTCCCCACAAGGAGCA